GCTTTCTTTCAAGCCTCTCCCAGGTGAAACATTTGGCATGCACTGGGTGGCTTTCTTTCAAGCCTCTCCCAGGTGAAACTTTGAGGGCACAGTGTTGGCTGTTTTTCAAGCCTCAGAGGTCATCTGACTCGACCTTCTGCTTCTTTTGGTCTTCCTCTTTTGAGGTGCTGGAGGAAGACTTATCAGTCGATGAAGTTTCTTCTGGCCTTCTTTCAGGCGTCGCCCCTTCTTTGCTCTCCTCTTGAGAGGACTCATCTGGCCTTTTTTCAGGCCTCTCCCCACTTGGCCCTTCTTTCAAGACCACTGCAGGGCCTGCTTCTTGACTGGCAGGAGTCAGAACCACAGCTGGCTGTGGCCTTCTTTCAGGCCCCCCAAGCCTTTCCTCAAGGAACTTTTGCTGCAGTTCCAGGAAGGCTGCCCTCTCCTCTGCCAGCCTGGCTCTGTCAGCCAACACTTCCCTTTCCACTTTTGCCAGGTCCCTCTCCCTTTCTTTGATCAGCCTCCACTTTTGGGACCCTGGCTGTAGAGGCTGAATTTGGTTTGGAGGGTAGCCTTCCTGCAGGCCCCTTTCCCTCCTTTCTTGCACATCTGGCCTTTGGGACCTTTCAGCCTTTCTGGCCTCTCTGGACCTTTTGCCTCGCCCTTCTTGCCAAAAAGGGTCCCACTCTGGCCTGCCTTCCCAGTGTTCAGGCTCAAAGACTGGCCTTCTTTCAGGCCCCTTCTTGCCCTTTTCTTCCTGGCCTCCCTTGCCTTTTTCTTCGGCTTCTGGCCTTCTCTCAGACCCCTGCTTGCCTTTTCCCTTTCCCTTCTTGCCTTTCTCTTCTGTGGCTGGCCTTTTTTCAGGCCCCTTCTTGCCTTTCCCCTTTCCCTTTTGGCCTTTCTCTTCTGTGTCTGACCTTCTTTCAGGTCCCTTCTTGCCTTCTCCCTTGCCCTTCTTGCCCTTCTGGCCTTTTCCTTCTGGCCTTCTTGCAGGCCCCTTGCCTTCTTCAGAAGAACTTTGGCCACCATCTGCCCACCTGTCTCTTCTGGCCTGCAGCCATTGGTCTTTTTCGTCTTCATCTGCCCATTCTCTTTCCATTTCTTCTTTCCAGCTTCTCCAACCTTTGCCCCAGTTCCCCTGCCAGGGCATGCCTTCTTTCAGGCAGCTGGGCCTTTTTGCAGGCCTCTTGCAGCTCTTGAGTTTCTGTTTGCTAACAAAAAGCTATGCTTGCTTGAGCCAAAAAAAGCGGAGTGCACACATTCGAGCATGTCTGTGGTTAGTTGTTGAGGCTGGAAATGTATAAATATGTTTGTTTGTTCAATGCATAAATACAACAAAATATACATATATTTCTTGTTTGGCTCAATACATATTTATATATATAGAGAAATTTTAAAGATATAAAGAAGTATCTGAAAATTTTCAAAAATGCTTTCGGTAAACACCACTGGCTTTAAAACTGCTGATACTTACATTGAACAGTTAAGCACCAAAGAGCATGTGAATGGATTGGAAAGTATATATTAGTCTATTCTTTTTGTGGGTGTCTCTTGAGAGCAGGGGAAATTGATACTTTAGATGGCTTCCCTACAGCTTAGTTTGATGTTGGTCAATCAGTATACCACATTGCAAGAGCTTAAGACACAGCCCTCCCAGATCACTCGCTCTTTTTTCATCGGCCAGCTAAATGCAATTGTCAATGTGCCTTTACACATGATCTACCTTCACTGGCCTTCCTTCAGGCCGTGAAGCAAAAACACAAATATATTGTTAGCCTTCTCTCAGGCCATTCCGAGCATATGAGCCCACATCTTTGACCAAATCAGTCAACATCTTTGACCAAATCATCCCTTTTTTGTTGCATCTTCTCTTTTGTCGTGCCTTCCTCCATCACAACTTTTTCCAACTCCAGGATCACACTGTGGTGCCCCCCTGGAAAATGTTTGCCCATTTTCTTTGTGCAGCCCACTATGAGTTTCCACTGGCCTTCTTGCAGGCCTAGTAGATAGGCTTGATCCTTTCCCAAAACTTTCTTCACATCTGACCATGGCCTCCTTTCAGGCCCTGAGTAAGATGGCTTTTTCTTTGGGCCTTGCTTGGCTTCTGGCCTCCTTTCAGGCCCTGAGTAAGATGGCTTTTTCTTTATGCATTGCTTGGCTTTTGGTTTGCCGGCTGGCTTCTTGGAAAGACCAGGCCTTCTTGCAGGCCTTGAGCTTCCATCTGCCACATGCTGCTGGGCAGCTGCCTGGGCAGCCTGTTGTAGTTGCTCCCTGTAACTCGCCCTCTGTCGTTCTAAAATTGACATGGGTCGCTCTCTATCCTCATGCTCTGGTGATTTCAAGATCATGGGGAACCCATGAGAATCTACAGAGACCATTGAAATTTCTTCTTTCAAAGTTCTGGCCTTCTTGCAAGCCTGTTCTGAGCCAGGGGCGCTCTCGGTGTGGCTCTTGCGCAAGGGCAACCCCACAGAGCTGGAGCTATTGGCTTTCTTGCAAGCAT